AGGGCGCCACGCCTGGTGGCCCCATCTGTTCCCACAGCGAGGATGGCCCAGGTGTCCGCCTCACGCCCACCCTGTGTGAAGGAGCTGACTGTTTTGCTGGCTCCCCCTGTGCATTCTGAGACCCTCAACCCAAAGCCCAGGCCCAGAAATCTGCTTTTGGGAAATGGATTCTTCCTGGAGACTCGGCTTCTGGTTCTCCACGTGGTCCCTGCCATCATCTTGCTGTGGGCACAGAGTGTGGGACAGCAGAGATGGGTCTGGAGGAAAAGGAGGAAGTTTGCTTTCCTGGCCATCAGTGAGGCAGCCTGCACCCAGAGGATGCCACCCACCGGATGACGGCCCCAGGCCCCAGGGCTCCTGGCAGTGCCCCTCGCGGAGAGAGGAAGGTCGATCACTGCACTATTTGTACGTGACTAGAGACTCTGAAAGTGGCTTCTGCTGCCATCACCCAGATGGCTCCAAGGCTGAGCAGCCCCGGCTACTGACAGGCGGCCTCAGCATGCACTGGGAGTGTCCCAGATTAGGGTACACCTCCTCCCTGGGGAGCCACTTCCAGGGCGGCTTGCGGTGGGGTACAGAGGCCTGGCCTTCCTGCCCCAAATCAGGGCATCCCCGAAGGCCACCCAGGCACAGAGCTAAGCCTGCACCCCAGCACAGCTCCCCATCTCTGGACCACTCTGGATCAAGTCTGCACACTGCCCTTCCCTTCTCTCCGCATCCAGTGGAGAGGGACACAAGTGTCACGGTCTTCTGCAGGTGACAGCAGCTGCTCCTGCCTCACACTTCTCATGCTGCTTGAATTCTTTCTGAGAGCATTTGAGGATAATCAGCCCGGCTGTGTGCTGGGCTCCAAGAGTGGGTCGCTGAGTCCAGAGCCTCTCATTTCAGAAAATCCTCCAGGCCACAGCCGGAGACACACAGCAGGAGTCTACTGTTTGTCTGAAAGGGATTCCCATGCTTTCAGACTGTACTGAGCCCTTTTGTGATCTCTGCTCTGCGTAAGATATTAATCATCGCTGCAGTCTCGTGAGACAGCCTGTCACTACGTAAGATGTGATGCAATGCTCTGGTGAATATCTCAATAAAACAGTGTATTACAGAAAAAGAGCTCCATAAAGTGCTCCCCTGCCTTGGAATACACTTATCCCATTGTTCTTGTCACTTTCTGAAGCATTTCTGGAGTCCACTTTCCTCAGTGTCTGTACAGAGTGTGATCAAAATTACAGTGATCGCTGGTGCCATCGAGCTGCAAGGCAGGCCGTGTGTCCCCTCCACCTGATTCAGGGGCTCTGACACCCTGCGATGTCCAGCTCTTCCCCAAAGTTAAAGTGATCGGGCGGGGATGTGGCTCAGCTGCACAGCACCTGCCTGGCACGTGCAAGGTCATGAGTTCGATTCCTGGTACCAAAAACCAAAAAAGTTGCAAAGGAAGAGCACGGCTAAAGACCCTCAAGAAAGAGGATTCCAGAACTGCTTCAGAAAGTGGCACTAATGAGACGGATACATTCAAAGTGAGGAGGAGGGTTTTTTTTTCCGGTACTGGGGATCAAACTCAGGACTGCCTGCTTGCAGGGCAGGTGCTTATGCCGCTGAGCTAAATCCCCAGCCCCGAGGAGGAGGGTTTTAAAGGGTGTAAGTGGCAAAGAATCTTCTGTTGCAAAAACATTTTTAAGAACATGAAAACATTCCCTGTGGGTTTTTTTTTTTTATCAAACCTTGTATCCCCCAGATAAGATCAGCAAGTGAACAAGCGTGGAACCAAGGTCTCCACCCCGCCCCGGCTTCCTCCAGACTGTTTTTATCTTTGCACACCTGGCAAAATGAAGTCAGTATTTCCAATATTAAGTGCACTATTAAAAAAATGAGCAGTCGAGCCACAGACTGGGAGAAAATATTTGCAAATCAGCTATCCCATGAAATCCTTGTACCCAGAATATATAAAAATGCTTGTGACCTTATTATAAAATAAAATGGAGAGACCAATTAAAAAAGAGCAGAAAATTTGACTAAGCATGTTGGCAAAGGCAATATATAAACAAGGAAAAAGATTAACCATCACTAGACAAATGCATTGTTCTCCCAAATATAACTACTTTATAGTTACTATAATTGTGTTACGTCTTGGATCGGAAATGTCTTCAAAACTCACACACTTAGTTGGCATGTGATAGGCTTTTGGTAGAAGTGTCCATCAGGAGGGTTCTAATCTCATCAAGTCCATTAATCCACTATAAAATGCTTTGATTGCATTATAAGGCGGAGACGGAAACGAGCTGGGTCCCGGTGAGAGCGAGCGGGCACGGGGAATGTGACTTGGGATTCTATCAAGTCCTCCTCTTCTTCCTCTTGGACTTTGTCATTTTCTCTCTGCCACCCCGCAGCCTTGAAATGAACAACTCTGCCACTCTCTGCCCCGCTGCTCTGTTTTACAACAGGCCCAGAAGCAATGGAGCAAAGAGACCACGGACTGAAGCCACCGAAACCATGAGCCAAAATAAGTATTTTCCCCCTAATTTGATATGCAGAGACAAATGTTAACACAGACGCTCCATTACAGACACAATGGCAGGTGTCTGCAAGGTGGAAGGCATGCAAAATGGTAGACACTTTGAAAAACATTTTGAGAGCATCTTAAAAAAATAATCAGACAAATCCGCCATAAGAGAAATGAAAGCAAACGGGCTCAGAAACACATGTGTGAGTTTTCAGAATAGCGTTATTCAGGATGATAAACCCGCCTAAAAACAGCGCTGGCGTCCATCAGCTGGCGAACGGATAAAAGGAACCAACCTCTGTCCGACGGCACACTATTCAGCCCCAAAGGACAAACTTCTGACACATGAAAAACGTAAGCGAACCTCAGAACCCCAGGTCACATGACACAGGCTGACACAAGAGACCACGCAGTGTGTGACTCCATTTACCCAAAATCTCTGCCCATTTGAGGCCTTGTAGAGCTCACCTTTGAGCCTCCAGCCTGGCAGCCACGGGCTGTGAGCCTGGCTCTCCACCAGTCCAGGGCTCTGAGTCACTGCGATGGGCAGGAAGCAGCCCCCTACCTGGCCCGAGACAGGTGACAGTGGAACCTGTCCTGTTCTCTCAGCCTCTGCAGAAGGGAACATGCCCGGGAATTTGTGAGCCGTGCGGCTGTGGTCTAGAGTTGAGCAGTGTCCCCACAAGCCTGGCATGTCCAGCCAGTGCCAGGAGGCTCGTGTGGCTGGGGCTGGAGGCCATGTGCCCGCCTGTGGGCTACATGGAGGAGGCTGGGAAGAGCAATTCAGAAACAGCCAGTGGCTCCGGGGTCCACAGGAGGACATGGAGCGAGGGGCGGGTCAGGAGGACCTCAAGTCTGAGCTCACATTAGGTAACCTTGTGACTGAGTAAGACTCTGCCACCAAATAAAAAAGGGCTAAGGGTGTCACTCAGTGGGAGGGCTCGGGGTCCATCTTCAGGATGCAGAGAAGTCCAGATGAGGGTTGACATCACGCCCTCCCGCATGCCATTCTCCATGAAGCACCGCGATCAGATCGGCCCTGTTTATAAGGTGGCATAGCTCCCTGCTGCCCACGAGTGAGAGCCCAGGGTTCCCGATCTGCCATGCGCCTACCTTCCTTCCCCTCTGCCTGCCTGCTCCAGGTCTCCTCCCCTGGGTCTCCTGCTTCCCATGACAGAGGCTCGAGTCCCTGCCTCGGCCATCCCTTAGGCCTTGGACGGTCGCGGTGGACAGGGCGCAGGGCAGGGTGTGACGGGGTCCCTGTCCCAAGCTCCTCAGCCTTGGTCCTGAAGTCGGTCAGGGACTTGGGGGCCATAGGGATGGCTGGATTTGGAGCAGCTCTCCTCTTTTGGGAAATGGGCCAGAAAGACTCCTTGCATGTGGCGGTGGAGTGTGCCCTGGACAGCCAGCCACAGGCAGAAGCCCCCGAGTGGAGAGAGGGACAGAAAGATCAGAGGCCCGAAGTTTGGGGAGCTGATAAAAAAAGAGGGTGCCGTGGGTGTGAAGTGGTGGAATGATTCTTGGATCCTTGGGGGAAACTGAGGTTGGTTCCACCATGAGGGAGCCACGGGCGGTGTCATCTCTGTGTGAGGGTTTTAGCCTAGCCCACAAATAGGGGACCTGGCTGGCCTTTGGCTTTCTAGTAGAAGGACTAGAAGGTTCTGGAAGGTTCAGGAAGGTTCTGGAAGGTTCTCAACTTTGCAAAATTGTGGGCAAAGTGAGGTGCAATAGTATGATTTTGCTCCTAAGAACTTTCTATTCACTCAAACTCTTTCAAAACTTCAGCGAAAAAGTCTAGATCCTCACAAATCACCTCAGAAAAAGAGACGCAGGGAGCGGGAGAGACCAGGGATGGGGAGAAGCTGCCTTTCTTAGGGCAGCTCTGAAGACCTTTCTGACCCGACATAGTTATTTATATGGTGCCACCAAAGTGTCTGAGATGAGACAATCCTAACTCATTCATCCAGCCAGGAGGCGTGATGCCCGGACACACGCCCTGGGGTGGGTGGACCTCAGGACCAGCCTGGTACTCTGTGGCTCTGCCAGACCTCACGCCGCCCTCCGCCAGCACCTGCCCTGCTCCAGCCCTCAGCACCCTGCTTCACCCAGCAGTCACCACCCGTCTCTTACTGGTGCCCCTGCCCTTCTGCCCATGGCACGGCTCAGCTGAGGGTTTCCAAACCAGGTCGCAGCAACCCCTGGACCAAGCCCTCGGTGTGAAGCCCTTGCCATTACCCGGGACCCTCACAGACCCCGTGTCTATCAGAGCTCACTGCTCCTGAGGGCAGTCAGCTGGTCACTTTGATACCTGTTTTCAGAGCAGCCAGTTCAGGGGTGACGGCTGGACCCCAGCCAGCACCCAGGATCTGAGAGGGACAGGGCCCTGACCACAGATGCTGACTGACGCCCCATCCATGGCACCCAGGGGGCTTCCTTGGCAGCCACGGCTGATCCCAGGGCCCAAAGAAAATGCCAAGCACCGAGACAATCATAATCAGGCTCTTACTGAAATATCTGGCCGCGAAGGTCCTCCTCCTGCTGGACGCGCTCGGCAGCATCCTGGAGCTGGCACTCTGCGCAGATCTGTTCTGCAACCTTTTTATAAAGCGCCAACCACATCCTCAAGCAGACAAGCTAATTCCTGTTTTCCAGTAACAGGAGATCAACATCTATAGCAAAGAAATATATTTAGAATGCCCTTTATCTGGTGTTTGCTTGGATTTAAGTAAGAAGCCTGCTAAACGAAAGAGCGCCCGAGGGAAAGTGTGTCCGGGAACTTGGGATGGTCTCGGGGGCACCCGGGGGGCTTTGGGGAAGCTGTCAGTTCCTCAGATCTGAAAAATGGGAACAATACTGACAGCCACTGCTTAGAGCGAATCAACTCCAGAGCCAGCGGAAGGGAGGGCTCAGGCCGTGGTGAAGTCTGTGGTCATGTCTGCTGTTAGGTTTTGGTTTTTTTTTTCTTCCCAATTGGCCGCCCTGGGTTTATTCAGGGAGTCATGCTTCCAGAAAGCCTGCAAAACAGCAGAGTGCCCGCTGCCTCCTGTTTGCACTGGGGGCTCCTCTGAGGCACGGCACTCCATGACAGGGGCAGCAGGACCTGGTTCTCTGCACAGGTGCAGGGTAAAGCTGGGGACTCTGGCCAGCACCGGGCTGTGAAGCGTGCAGTGCTTGCATTCCCGGCTCGATGTTTAAGATCCCCAGGCCCTAGGTTACTATTGTAAGAAGCCACACAGCAAAACTTCAGCGGTGAAATAGCCAGGTGACATCTAGGCAGCCACCATTACTGACACAGTGTCCTGGAAGTGTAAGGCAGGGCTGCTTCAACCGTCAGGGCCAGTGTCACCGTGTAAAAACACACAGTGTCTGCAAAGCTCCCGGGAGGGCATGCACCGAATGCTCTTCCCACCACCCCCTCCTGCCTTTGCTGTACTGAGCCTAAAGCTCAGAAAGATACAGCACCCCGCTCCTGTCTAAAGACAGAACAAGCAAAAGCAGCTCTCAGCACAAGGCTCCTTCCAGCTCAGCTCTGGGGAGCAGGGATCCGTGTGAGTGTCACCAGCACAGTGTGGAGCAGGCTGTGGGCTGCTGGACAGGGCTCCGTGGCTGTCCTGGGGCTGTGTCCTCTTGGCCCAGGCCTTGTGGGTCTGTGGACAGCTCCTGCCTAGGGGACTCTGGCAAGCAGAGGGGATGGGGCCAGCTTGTGCCTCTGGGGAGAGAGCTGGGGCCACCAGGAGCGGAAGCCCCTAGTGTGTTAAATGCTACATCTACAGGGGCGCAGTTCAAGAAGCCAAGGAGGAGCCCAGGAAGCCAGCAAAGCTGGGCCTGCGTGGAGAGCTGGAGAAATCTAACATCAGCCGGGAACCGAGGAGCCGGGCACACCCAGAGAGACCTGTCTCAGCATTCCTTACAGCCCAGCACCGGGGCTGGCCGTGAGATGGGGAGCCCTGGAGGACAGGGAGGTTGCCAAGCCATGCACCCCAGTGCTGGGAGGGTTAGAATTAATACTGGAGCTCCAAGGGGAGCTTGCCTCTTTCCTAGAGTGAACACGAGGCAGACTTAGCAGATACACATGCAGGGCGCCCAGCTAACTCTGCAGTAAAGATATGTTCTGAATATTGCCTGGGGTACACTGTCTGCTAAGGAGTCCCACCTGTTATCTGGGAGCTGTTGAGATTTAACAGGGAGTAGGGGTCCTGTGTTTTATTTTGAGTACCTGTTTTCTTTTTGGTGAAAAGAGGATACAGGCGAGCCCCTTTCAATTATGGGAAACAAACAAACAAAGCCAGCTAAGAGTGACTTCAAAGATAAGAGGGGATTTATTACCTCTTTTAGCAGGAGAGCCCTCCTTTGTAATATGGGCTTCAGGCATGCCTGGATCCAGCAGTTTGGCATTGTCAATCATATCTGTATTTCTTTTATAATTCCTTTGTTTCGGAGGTGGCTACTTCATTCTCAAAAAAGCCTGTCTGTCTGTCTGTCTATCTATCTATCTATCTATCTATCTATCTACCCACCTACCCATTTTTTTGGTGTAGGAATGGAATCTAGGGGAACTCTACCACTAAGCTACCTCCCCCAGCCCTTTTAAATATTTTTAAATTTTTTTATTTTGAGGATCTTGCTATGTTGATCAGGCTGGCTTAGCTAGTGGTCCTCCTGCCTCAGCCTCCCAAGTGGGTGAGATTACAGGCGTGGGTGAGTCATCTCATTTTTTTTTTTTTAAATGTCAGGCTCAGCTTCAGAGTCAATATTTGTTCTCTTCTGTCCAGCGGCAAAAGAGGGCCTCTCTCTCAGTGTCTCTCCCAGAATGCCAGGGAATGTGGTCTCCCTACACCCCCAGAAGCCTCTTCTGGCTTCCAGACCACGGTTTCACCACCCGGACCCCACCCAGGCGGATGGGACACTGGGGCACACTGATTGGCTAAAGCCACCCTGGCCTCCCCGGAGCTGTGGGGAGGAAGTGGCACCGAGGTGCCAGGGGAAAGGGCTCTGAGCTACAGCGCCCCTGAGGGGTCTCCAGGGGGCATCCTGATGGGACCCACCCGCCTGCCCTCACCCACCTTCTCTGCAGCGGGGTCAGGCTGGTCGCCAGCCCAGCCGTGGTCCTGGTCCTGGCCTCAGATGGGAGGCAGCTGGGCTCTCTGAGGGATGACTCAGCCCGGGCCGCGGCCCGCCCAGCGGTGCTGACGACCCGGTCCTCCTGGACCCGGGCCAATACCCGCGCCCTGCTCAGCCCACCTGCTGACCTCTTGAATGCCAGCGCTTGTTAGGCGCCCATTGGGTACCAAGCACAGTAACCCGCACCCGCCTGCACCCTGCAGGGCACTGGACGGGGACATCGCGGGGCAGCCGAGCCATCGCCATCGGGCAGGGTCACCGGAGGACGTACCTGGGAAGGCCGGCGGGCGCGCGTGCGGAGGGAGCGCGGGCTTTGCTTGCCCGGCCCGGTCCAGTCTGCCTGCAGGGCCAGGGCGCTGCGGGCCGCCCGCTGGGGACGGTGCGTGAGGCCCGGCCCCTCTCCTCCCTCCGCCGGCCTCGGCCCCAGGTTAGAGGGCGCGGGCGGGCGCGGGGGTCGCGGCCCGGTGGGAACATGGTCGGGCCTCTGTGCGTCCGGGCACCGCGGTGGACGCAGCGCCTGGGCAGCTGCAGGACCAGGCTGACCGGAGCTGGCGGTGCAGAGCGCCCCCTGGCGGCCCCGGCGAGCACCACGCCCCTCTGGACGTCCTGTCCAGCTCAGGACGAGGAGTGGGGGTCGTGGGCGGTCTACACCTGGGCAGCTGCAGTTACACAGCTTCCCTGCCCAGGGTCCATGCGAGGAACTCACCACATCATGCAAGGCCAAGAGGGAGGCTGCCCCCTCCCAGTACCCACTGTGGGCCTGGCTAGGGTGGGCAGCAAGGAGAGTCCGAGAAGGCCCCACAGTGACCGCTCCACATCAGCTCGCAGGAGGGATGCCCGGGCCGCAGCGCACAGAGCCAGAGTGCTGGACGGAACTCAAGGCTGGCTCTCCACACTGATGGCTGGGTGCCAGGCGACCTCTGAGTCCTGGGCCCATCTGCACCAGCAGTATTGCTGACCATGGTCCACTTGAGCATCAGGAGCTTATGATCCGGCCTGCCCAGGTGGCTTCACCTGAGTTTGCATGTTGCTTTAGGATCGAGTTGGTGGCAGGTCCTGGAGGACCTGGTTCCCACCCTTACAGTTAGGGTGTCAGGCCATGGTAAATCAGGCTCCGGGGTGTGCAGGGCCCCAGCTCTGCTCCTCTCAGGCCCTTCCTTGGGGCCTCTGAGGCAGCTGGGTGGGCATCCAGCACCCAAGCCAGGAGTCCAGGACAAAGCTGTGACCAGCAGTGGGGGGACCAGCTTCTGACAAATTAGGGACCTGTGCAGGGGCTCAGCTCAGGGTGCTGGGCAGGGTGACGGGAAGTCCCACACGGGCCTCCGCCCAGCGAGCCCCTGGACCTGAGCAGTTTACCTGCCGGGCACATTGAATTGAGAGCTCTTGGGGGCTACTTGCTTCTTTGTTTTTTACACAAGGGAGATCAAAATAGAAGACAGAGGTTTAAATGAATGAATTATTACAGGAACAGACCCGCTGCCACCATCCCGCTCAGAATCCTCTCCCTCGCTTTAAATACACCTGTCCCAGCGCTCTGGCCCCTCTCTGAAGCAGTTCTGGAAGTTCTCTTTCCTCAGTGTCATCCCAGGGTGTGATAAAAAACACACAGACACACACACACACACAGTGTATGCTGGGGCTGAGCCCCACCCAACGGGACGGCGGGCTTGTGACAGCGCGACACTGTGTCCTCCTCCAGCCTATGCACCGGAGCTGCCACGTGTGGCCTCGGGCTGCTCCCCAAATCCAGCTGACCAGCAGAAGTGAACGCATCGGATCAGTTCAGGGCATCAGGGCAGCCAGGCCCGCACAGCTGACACTCAGGGGAGGACTCCGGGGCCTCACGCAGCAGGAGGACGCCGGGGTGAGCACGTTCAGCTCGAGGGAGCCAGGATTTGAGGGACAGTCATGGCAATGTGTCTTCACTGAAATACATTTTTAAAAATTACACATCAGGGTCCTTTTCACCACCCAGGCGTGGGTGCATCTTGTACGCAGCAGTTACTTTGATTTTTTAAAAAATGTGAATAAACATTTAAGGCAGTGAAGAATCCCAGGTACTGTTTCCATTTAAAATTTTTTAATTAAAAAATTATTTACAGGGCTGGGGATTTAGCTCGGCGGAATAAGCGCCTGCCTTGCAAGATCGGTCATGAGTTCGATCCCCAGTATCCAAAAAAAAAAATTACAGTTCATGCAGTTTACAGTCACCCTGGAGAATGTTTGTCTCCCTCCTTCTCCTCTCCTCCTCCCGGTCTTCTTCCTCCCTCTCCCTCCCCGTCCTCCCTTCCCCACCTCTTTAAACTCTTCCCGGTTCCCCGGAGCCAGGCTTAAACCTAATGCAGGCACGCTGAGCAGCCCTGAGTGCAATTTGCAGCCAAGGCCAATAGATGGCGCTCGCAGCACGCTGCTCGCACGGTGCCTGTGTGCCCCTGTGTGTGTCAGTGTGTGTGTGTGTGTGTGTGTCAGTGTGTGTGTGTGTGCGTGTATGTGTCCGGCAGGTCCCGGCAGGCCCTTCGCAGGAGGAGGGTCTCAGTCCTGTCCCAGGCTGCAGAGCTCCCTGGCAAGCGTCCACGTGCAGCCCTTGCGTCCGCGGTATGAGCAGGGACCAGGCTGGCTGTGGGGCCTCCAGAGTAGAAAGGGCACCTCAAGGCTCCTCGTCCCGAAGGCACTTCGGGGCTGCAGGCGTGCGACCAGGATCCTCAAATGGGCTTGCTTCCAGGGCCTTGCAGGGTCCGGCTCCTATCAGGGTCCGAGCATGAGCGGACAGTGGCTAG